ATAATAGAAAATTTTAAAGTATTCGGCAATAAACTAGTAAGTATTGCAATAGAGGAAAATGAATTCAGTAATTATTGCAACATGTGATATAGAATCAGAAAAAGCAAATCGATTCATTATTTTGATGCTTTGATAATAGAAAATTTTAAAGTATTCGGCAATAAACTAGTAAGTATTGCAATAGAGGAAAATGAATTCAGTTATTATTGCAACATGTGATATAGAATCAGAAAAAGCAAATCGATTCATTATTTTGATGCTTTGATAATAGAAAATTTTAAAGTATTCTGCAATAAACTAGTAAGTATTGCAATAGAGGAAAATGAATTCAGTTATTATTGCAACATGTGATATAGAATCAGAAAAAGCAAATCGATTCATTATTTTGATGCTTTGATAATAGAAAATTTTAAAGTATTCGGCAATAAACTAGTAAGTATTGCAATAGAGAAAAATGAATTCAGTAATTATTGCAACATGTGACGGAGAATCAGAAAAAGCAAATCGATTCAATATTTTAATGCATTCATAACAGAAAATTTTAAAGTATTCGGCAATAAACTAGTAAATATTGCAATAGAGAAAAATGAATTCAGTAATTATTGCAACATGCGATGGAGAATCAGAAAAAGCAAATCGATTCATTCATTTCATTCATTTTGATGCTTTGATAATGAAAATTTAAAAAAAATTAAGCAATAATCTAGTAAGTATTGCAATAGAGAAAAATGAATTCAGTAATTATTGCAACATGTGATATAGAATCAGAAAAAGCAAAGCGATTCAATATTTTGATGCTTTCATAACAGAAAATTTTAAAGTATTCGGCAATAAACTAGTAAGTATTGCAATAGAGAAAAATGAATTCAGTAATTATTGCAACATGTGATATTGAATCAGAAAAAGCAAATCGATTCAATATTTTGATGCTTTCATAACAGAAAATTTTAAAGTATTCGGCAATAATCTAGTGAGTATTGCAATAGAGAAAAATGAATTCAGTAATTATTGCAACATGTGATATAGAATAAGAAAAAGCAAATCGATTCAATATTTTGATGCTTTCATAACAGAAAATTTTAAAGTATTCGGCAATAAACTAGTAAGTATTGCAATAGAGGAAAATGAATTCAGTAATTATTGCAACATGTGATATAGAATCAGAAAAAGCAAATCGATTCATTATTTTGATGCTTTCATAACAGAAAATTTTAAAGTATTCGGCAATAAACTAGTAAGTATTGCAATAGAGAAAAATGAATTCAGTAATTATTGCAACATGTGACGAAGAATCAGAAAAAGCAAATCGATTCAATATTTTAATGCTTTCATAACAGAAAATTTTAAAGTATTCGTCAATAAACTAGTAAGTATTGCAATAGAGAAAATGAATTCAGTAATTATTGCAACATGTGATATAGAATCAGAAAAAGCAAATCGATTCAATATTTTGATGCTTTCATAACAGAAAATTTTAAAGTATTCGGCAATAAACTAGTAAGTATTGCAATAGAGAAAAATTAATTCAGTAATTATTGCAACATGTGATGGAGAATCAGAAAAAGCAAATCGATTCAATATTTTGATGCTTTCATAACAGAAAATTTTAAAGTATTCGGCAATAATCTAGTGAGTATTGCAATAGAGAAAAATGAATTCAGTAATTATTGCAACATGTGATGGAGAATCAGAAAAAGCAAATCGATTCAATATTTTGATGCTTTCATAACAGAAAATTTTAAAGTATTCGGCAATAAACTAGTAAGTATTGTAATAGAGAAAAATTAATTCAGTAATTATTGCAACATGTGATATAGAATCAGAAAAAGCAAATCGATTCATTATTTTGATGCTTTGATAATAGAAAATTTTAAAGTATTCGGCAATAAACTAGTACAATAGAGAAAAATGAATTCAGTAATTATTGCAACATGTGACGGAGAATCAGAAAAAAAATATTTTAATATTGCATTCATAACAGAAAATTTAAAATATTTGGTAATAAACTAGTAAGTATTAAAATGGAGAAAGATTAATTCAACAATTATTGCAACATGTGATGGAGAAACAGAAAAAGCAGATCGATTCAATATTTTGATGCTTTGATAATGAAAATTTAAAAAATTAAGCAATAATCTAGTAAGTATTGCAATAGAGAAAAATGAATTCAGTAATTATTGCAACATGTGATATAGAATCAGAAAAAGCAAAGCGATTCAATATTTTGATGCTTTCATAACAGAAAATTTTTAAAGTATTCGGCAATAAACTAGTGAGTATTGCAATAGAGGAAAATGAATTCAGTAATTATTGCAACATGTGATATAGAATCAGAAAAAGCAAATCGATTCATTATTTTGATGCTTTCATAACAGAAAATTTTAAAGTATTCGGCAATAAACTAGTAAGTATTGCAATAGAGAAAAATGAATTCAGTAATTATTGCAACATGTGATATAGAATAAGAAAAAGCATATCGATTCAATATTTTGAGCTTTGATAACAGAAAATTTTAAAGTATTCGGCAATAAACTAGTAAATATTGCAATAGAGAAAAATGAATTCAGTAATTATTGCAACATGTGACGGAGAATCAGAAAAACCAAATCGATTCAATATTTTAATGCATTCATAACAGAAAATTTTAAAGTATTCGGCAATAAACTAGTAAGTATTGCAATAGAGGAAAATTAATTCAGTAATTATTGCAACATGTGATATAGAATCAGAAAAAAGCAAATCGATTCAATATTTTGATGCTTTCATAACAGAAAATTTTAAAGTATTCGGCAATAAACTAGTAAGTATTGCAATAGAGAAAAATGAATTCAGTAATTATTGCAACATGTGATGGAGAATCAGAAAAAGCAAATCGATTCAATATTTTGATGCTTTCATAACAGAAAATTTTAAAGTATTCGGCAATAATCTAGTGAGTATTGCAATAGAGAAAAAATGAATTCAGTAATTATTGCAACATGTGATATAGAATAAGAAAAAGCAAATCGATTCAATATTTTGATGCTTTCATAACAGAAAATTTTAAAGTATTCGGCAATAAACTAGTAAGTATTGCAATAGAGGAAAATTAATTCAGTAATTATTGCAAAATGTGATATAAAATCAGAAAAAGCAAATCGATTCATTATTTTGATGCTTTGATAATAGAAAATTTTAAAAAAAATTAAGCAATAAACCAGTGAGTATTTCAATAGAGAAAAATGAATACAGTAATTATTTCAACATGTGATATAGAATCAGAAAAATCAAATCGATGCAATATTTTAATGCATTCATAACAGAAAATTTTAAAGTATTCGGCAATAAACTAGTAAGTATTGCAATAGAGGAAAATTAATTCAGTAATTATGGCAACATGTGATATAGAATCAGAAAAAGCAAATCGATTCAATATTTTGATGCTTTCATAACAGAAAATTTTAAAGTATTCGGCAATAAACTAGTAAGTATTGCAATAGAGAAAAATGAATTCAGTAATTATTGCAACATGTGATGGAGAATCAGAAAAAGCAAATCGATTCAATATTTTGATGCTTTCATAACAGAAAATTTTAAAGTATTCGGCAATAATCTAGTGAGTATTGCAATAGAGAAAAATGAATTCAGTAATTATTGCAACATGTGATATAGAATAAGAAAAAGCAAATCGATTCAATATTTTGATGCTTTCATAACAGAAAATTTTAAAGTATTCGGCAATAAACTAGTAAATATTGCAATAGAGAAAAATTAATTCAGTAATTATTGCAACATGTTATATAGAATAAGAAAAAGCAAATCGATTCATTATTTTGATGCTTTGATAATAGAAAATTTTAAAAAAATTAAGCAATAAACTAGTGAGTATTGCAATAGAGAAAAATGAATTCAGTAATTATTGCAACATGTAATATAGAATAAGAAAAAGCAAATCGATTCAATATTTTGATGCTTTCATAACAGAAAATTTTAAAGTATTCGGCAATAAACTAGTAAGTATTGCAATAGAGAAAAATGAATTCAGTAATTATTGCAACATGTGACGGAGAATCAGAAAAAGCAAAATTAATGCATTCATAACAGAAAATTTTAAAGTATTCGGCAATAAACTAGTAAGTATTGCAATAGAGGAAAATTAATTCAGTAATTATTGCAACATGTGATATAGAATCAGAAAAAGCAAATCGATTCAATATTTTGATGCTTTCATAACAGAAAATTTTAAAGTATTCGGCAATAAACTAGTAAGTATTGCAATAGAGAAAAATGAATTCAGTAATTATTGCAACTTGTGATGGAGAATCAGAAAAAGCAAATCGATTCAATATTTTGATGCTTTCATAACAGAAAATTTTAAAGTATTCGGCAATAATCTAGTGAGTATTGCAATAGAGAAAAATGAATTCAGTAATTATTGCAACATGTGATATAGAATAAGAAAAAGCAAATCGATTCAATATTTTGATGCTTTCATAACAGAAAATTTTAAAGTATTCGGCAATAAACTAGTAAGTATTGCAATAGAGAAAAATGAATTCAGTAATTATTGCAACATGTGATATAGAATAAAAAAAAGCAAATCGATTCAATATTTTGATGCTTTGATAACAGAAAATTTTAAAGTATTCGAATTTTAAATTATTTTTTTTTTTTTTTTATTAAAAAAATAACCAATTTGCAAAAAAATAAAACCAAAACGATATAATTTAGCTTATTATTTATTAATTTAATGCCGAGTCTGTGGACACTGTTTAGGCAAAGTTATTTCGATGCGAGGGGTGACAAGTTTGTAGGTGTTGCGCGAATGAAGACTATTTTCGAACAGAGTTTAAAAGAATATAAATAAAGAGGAGTATACAATTAACAGTGTGTTATGCTTTGTTATGTGCAAGAGTGCGCTAACAGCGAATGAGAATGACAAAGGAAAGAGATTAACTTAAGAGAAGCTTATTTAACTATTAAGAGCAATTATTAGCTGCTGCGCCGAACATCCTCCCCACCGTTAAAAGACCATGACTTTTAACAGGATCATCAACCGGAAGGACGCACAGCTTATTGACAGCTCGACGTGTTGGTTCCAGTGGTGTACGCAGAACAGCGACTCTCACGGCTCCATCGGCTCCAGCGATGATTTCAACGACCCGGGCTAATGGCCACTTCAAAGGTGGCAGGTTTTCGTCTTTTACACAGACGACATCGTTGACCTTGATAGAAGGCCGTGGGGTCCGCCATTTTACTCGCTGTTGCAGAATTGTGAGGTATTCCTCACTCCATCGCTTCAAAACAACTGCTGTATGTATGTCATACGCTGCCAGCGATCGAGGCGATTGCAGTTAATCCGAGATAGATCTGGTTCGGGGGAAGTCGATAAGTGGTCGACCAATCAGGAAATGCCCTGGGTGAGAACTCCAAGATCATCAGGGTTTTCTGAAATTGGAACAAGAGGACGAGAATTGATTATAGCCTGAATTTGGCACACCAATGTGCGCAGTTCATCGAAACCAAGAAGTGCCGATCCCATAGACCGATATAGGTGCCTTTTAGCTGTCTTCACTGCTGCCTCCCAAAGACCGTTAAAATGTGGCGAACGAGGAGGTATGAATTTCCAATCGAAGCTGTTGTTGATGCAGTAGTTGTGAACTTCAGTACGATGTTCCTGGCTCAAAAATAAACGCCTCAGATCCGCCAACTCGTTCCGTGCACCCACAAAGTTGGTTGCGTTGTCTGACCAGATGCATGTTGGAATGCCGCGTACTGACAGAAACGCTTGAGGGCGCCCAAAAGGCAGCTGTTGACAGATCCCTTTGCAAGCTCCAGCCATACAGCCTTGGTTGTGAAACAAACGAACACGCAGACGTAGCATTTTACTGATGCTCTATTTCGTCCATCGGGCTTGTAATAAAAAAGATCCACAATAGTCAACTCCAGTGATTGTGAATGCCGGTGAGCACTGTGCACGTCCTTAGGCAAGTCTGCCATTATATGCTCAACTAGGCGAGGCCGGGATCTGCAGCAAATTATGCATTTTCGCAATTCTCGGGCAACAGTTTTCATGCCGCCTATGGGCCAAAACTGCAAATCGAATAGCTGTAAGCAAAGCCTGCGGGTCCGGCGTGGTGATGCATTTGATGAAAATGGGATATTATAGCGAAGGTTAAGGGATGGTTTTTTTGGGTAAAATAATTGGGTGACGCGCATCGAAGCCGAGAGTAGAATGCCCCAAACGACCACCAACTCTTAGTAGACCAAAATCATCCATAAACGGAAATAGCGAAAGAATGGCGCTTGACGAGTGTATATTCCTTCCATTCTGTAGGGCAGAGTATTCCGGTTGCAACTGAGCTCTTTGAGCAAGACGACATAATAGGAACGATCCTTGACGCAGATCATCCGATGATAACTCAGGTGATTTTATTTTCCGGATGAATTTATGAACATAACCAAAGATTCGCTTCATTATTCCGAATGAATTTATGTACTTGAATGACAAAGAGATGTCCACATGCTCTGCCGACAGCAAGACTCTTTGACGCATTTCAGGCAAGCATGCTTCAGGCAAGCAGTGCCTAGGCCAATAACATTTTCCTCTTGCAAAAAGAAGGTCCATGCATCCATAATTTCGAGTGCAAGAGCTCTAACGGTGCTGCTCCTTTAGATAACATATCTGCAGGATTCATCTCAGTGGGCACGTAATGCCACTCCATGCCGATTGTGAGCTGCTGTATGGCACAAACCTTGTTAGCAACAAAAACATTGAATTTGGATGGCTCTTCCTTTTTAGCCAAGACAAGACCACCGCTGAATCTGACCAGCAATGCATCTCACATTTGAACAAGTTCAGTTTCCTCTATCTCGCTTATCAAGTTCGCAAGCAGAAATGCAGCGCATAACTCAAGCTTAGGCACAGTGAGGGTCTTTAGTGGGGCGACTCTAGCCTTGGAACAGAGTAGATGCACTTTAACAGCATTATTCTTCGATGACCGAACATAAACACAAGAGCCATAGGCCTGAAGGCTAGCATCGCAGAAGGCATGTAATTCAACTCTTGCTTTTAAGTTCGAGTACATAACGAGGAAAGGTTGCATTGCTCACTTGATGAAAGTCCTTACAAAAATTCGCTCCAAATCGTTTCCAATGATTGTGGTAGACTCTCATCCCATTGTAGCTTGTCTCTCCACATGCGTTGCAAGATGATTTTTGCCCTAGTTAATGTTGGTCCGATCAAACCTAACGGATCGTAGCATCGCGCAATGGTTGACAGAACTGAACGTTTTGTGTGTTTTCCAACACTAATTTTGGGCTCGAAAGTGAATACGAAGCTATCCTTTCGAGGCTCCCAGATGAGAGTCCAAGAGGTTTTTGTCACATCGGTCCCATCGCCGAGTTTGAGAAAACTCTCCTGCTCGATTTCTGGAACTCCGCGAAGAATGTTGATTGAGTTTGAGCACCATTTTCTCAATTTGAAGTTGCCTCGCTCAAGAAGATTTTTAGTTTGTTCCATTATGTCGCGAACTTCTTCAACTGAATTGCCTCCTGAGATCAGATCGTCAACATAGAAATCTCGCAAAACAGTTTTAGCTCTAGGGGTATGATGACGACTCATCCATTGCTAATTGGTGCATTGCACGAATAGCCAAAAAAGAAGCGGGCTTGGTCCCATAAGTGACGGTATTCAATTTGAAGACTAGAATGTCGTCGTCTGATGAGTTTCGCCATAAGATACATTGAAGCATTGCATCAGGCTCTGAAACCTTCACACACCTATACATTTTACTAATATCACCTGTAAGTGCAATGGAAAATGTGCGGAAACGAACGAGTGTGAAACAATGTGGTTTGTATGGTCGGTCCCTGACATAAGAATATCATTTAATGAAAGCCCAGATGTGGTAACAGCCGAACCGTCGAATACCACTCTCAGCTTTGTTGTCGAACTTTCTTCCTTTGTATAAACACAATGATGAGGCAAGAAGTATTTGCATTTAGAAATCTCTGCGCTGAGCACCGGTGACATATGGCCGAGATCAATATATTCTTTCATAAATGCAGAGTATTTTTCCTTCATAGCATAATTTCGAGCAAACTTACGCTCCAAATTTAAGAGCCGACGCTTGGCCTGCACATAAGAGTCGCCCAAAGATTCGAAGCCTTGCTTTTTTGGCAAGCAGACTAAGTATTCCCCCTGAAGACTAATCGACGATGAGTTGCGATGAAATGCTGCTGACAGTGGAGCTCCCTCTGTTGTACCTTGGCGATAGGCTCGAAAACGTGCTCCACTTCCCAAAATTGACGAACCAAATCATCAAGCCGAGTGCTGAGATTGGTATCATCGGAAGCTCTTTGAGTTACGATGAACGATGAGAGTTTGGGGGCCGATTGCCCGCCACCTGATATGATCCAGCCGAGTTGAGTTTTCTGCAAAACTGGCAACCCAGGTGCCAACATAATTTGCCCAATACACAACAGCTCAAAAAGAAAAGACCAGCTCCGATGAGAAGATCAATTCGCTGTGACTTATAAAAATAAGGGATCAGCTAACTTTATGTTTGAGGGTATGTTCCAACTATTAGTAGACATTGAAATTCCAGGCTGATTATCAGTAATCGTCTTGGCGATGATTGCGCTGATGGTAGTTGAGTAATCTGAAATCCGCGATTTCAGAACGGAGATCGACTGAATATCCCTTCAGTTGGAAGCTAGCATCTCAATGCCAGAAACTGCGCTAAGCGACTTTCTTTTTCGGAGCTGAAGCTGATTAGCGAATTGCGTGGGTAACAAAGTGAAGTTGAGATCCTGAATCTAAGAGTACACGACACGGAACGAATGTCCAGCTCGATTCTTAACAAGGATTATAGCAGTGGCTAGAAGCACAACATCAGACGAGTGAGGGCGACAGATGGGCTTGGGCAAAGAAGGTGACATTGCAACCATAGCAGGGAATGTATTGCATTTGTTTGTTGGACAGTGTTGGATGTATCTACTGAAGATTGATTGTAATGCAATAAGGTATGGTGCTTCGATTGACAAGTGCAGCAGGTACTAGATTTGCAATCTTTCAGCTGATGCCCCTTTCTTAGGCAATTTAGGCACAGAGCGAGTCTCTTGGCCTCCTTATGTCGTGCAATGGGTGGCAATTGCTCAAAAACGCTTACATTGAAATATCATGTGGCTCGTGTCTTCGCAAAAGACACAACGACTGAGACTTTGGAAACGCAAATGATTTTCTTAAATATGTACTCACCGATCTTCCCTGACTTGCCAACCTGACCATCCTGCAAAACTTGATCCACATTTTCAAGCATTCGACACCGCTCTTGCAAGAACGTTGACAACTTGGCCCACGACGGTAACTCATTTGCTGATGATCGTTCCTCCCATTTGGCCTGAGTGCATTTGTCAATTTCTGCAACACTGTTTGCACGATGATACAATCCAGCGACTTCTTCCCTCGATGCAAGAATCCATAGCACGAATGTGAGATGTAACCTTATCCGCCAACTGCCTCAGTCTACCCACAGATGAATCTGCCTTCTCAAGCCCAAATATCGCTCTGATGTGTGCCTGTAAAATAAAACGTTTATTATCAAATCGACGTTGAAGAATATCCAAACGACGCTATAGTTAGCCCTATTTATTTCCAATGAGCCGATGGTATCCAGCGCAGCACCACTAAGCAGGACCGAAGATGTTGGAGCTTCTCAATAGGGCTGAGCTCAGAGGTCAGCATCTATTATCGTTTAGAACACAGAGAAAAGTTTTCCCACTCAGTATAGATTCCACTAAATTTTGGCAATTCCAACTGCGGCAAACGCGACCGATTTGACATAATGAGCACTGGATTAACATTTGTAAAGCTTGTATTAAGGTGTCGAAGAAAACTGTTGATTTGGCCGACTTCCCAGTTCACGTTGAAGCAGGGCCTTCCAAACTTCAAGTAGGGTAAGTTCAAATTTCGCAGGTAAATCACTGGCGATATGGACTTCAAATCTGATTCTTCCTAAGTTCCGTGTGAACCGCATCGAAATTTGACTCCAATTTGGTGATTGAGTCCAAAAGGTAAAAATCACACGAATCCATATGGCTTAATTTGGTCCGCGTCTGATTCGGCCCCATATAGTCTTTCGAGTCTATCGAACAGCGCTTTCGTTTCCACGCTTTAGATAAGTGACCCTGAGATGCAGGAACTTGATCAGCACTCGATTCTAAATTATTCATTTTTAACTACAAATTTATTTGTTTTATGTTCACTTTTGAAGAACACTTGCAATTGCAAAGTTAATGTACAAAGCTAATAGTTCCACTTATGCACATATAATTTATCTGCACATTTATATGCAAGCCCACTGTACGTATATACATATGTATGTACGTGTGTGATCGAGACAACTATTTTCGGAATAGCTGGGCAGACGCTACATAAGGCGCTAAACGCGATGATCCACGGACGAAGAAAAAATGATAAAGATAATCAGAATGCAAAGCCTGCATGCAGATTATCTGAGCTTTGATTTGTATGTGTGTGTGTGTGTGTGTCTTCTACGATTGACACAGCTTTTAGGTTTTTGCGCGCTTTCTAATACAGATGCAGCTGAAAGCGCCAACCGCGACGAACAAAAGCAATTAAAAAGAGGATGCAAGAAACTCAAGACAATTGCGTCCTACAGCATACATATAAGCAGTTCGAACGAAATGTTAAATGTTTTACAAGGGTTGTGTCCAATGAAATTGATAATTTGAATGCACTATCTTGCACAAATGTTTTGTAAGAATTTCACTGATGAGCGACGCGGAGATGGTGTAATAGTTTAACGCTAAGCGAGCACCACAAGTGTATTAAGAAATCACGTCGGGGTCACCAAAATGTTTGAAGAACTTGTCGAGCTTTTCGACAACTCTGGCTCCAATCATTTACGAAGGCAAAAAAAAAAAACCAAAACGATATAATTTAACTTATTATTTATTAATTTAATGCCGAGTCT